GACAGTTGTAATGGTCCAGTGGTTCTCATAGTCTGACAGTTCTAATGGTCCAGTGGTTCTCATAGTCTGACAGTTGTAATGGTCCAGTGGTTCTCATAGTCTGACAGTTGTAATGTTCCAGTGGTTCTCATAGTCTGACAGTTGTAATGTTCCAGTGGTTCTAATTGTCTGACAGTTGGTCCAGTGGTTCTCATAGTCTGACAGTTGGTCCAGTGGTTCTCATAGTCTGACAGTTCTAATGGTCCAGTGGTTCTCATAGTCTGACAGTTGGTCCAGTGGTTCTCATAGTCTGACAGTTGGTCCAGTGGTTCTCATAGTCTGACAGTTGGTCCAGTGGTTCTCATAGTCTGACAGTTCTAATGGTCCAGTGGTTCTCATAGTCTGACAGTTGGTCCAGTGGTTCTCATAGTCTGACAGTTCTAATGGTCCAGTGGTTCTCATAGTCTGGCAGTTGGTCCAGTGGTTCTAATTGTCTGACAGTTGTAATGGTCCAGTGGTTCTCATAGTCTGACAGTTGTAATGTTCCAGTAGTTCTCATAGTCTGACAGTTGGTCCAGTGGTTCTCATAGTCTGACAGTTGGTCCAGTGGTTCTCATAGTCTGACAGTTGGTCCAGTGGTTCTCATAGTCTGACAGTTGGTCCAGTGGTTCTCATAGTCTGACAGTTCTAATGGTCCAGTGGTTCTCATAGTCTGACAGTTCTAATGGTCCAGTGGTTCTCATAGTATGACAGTTCAAGTGATCCAGTGGTTCTCATAGTCTGACAGTTCTAATGGTCCAGTGGTTCTCATAGTCTGACAGTTGTCAGGTTGTTAGGTGTAGGTCATATATCAAAGCAACACAAGACCAAATTTGCCGGTGACTTACATGTGTATGTGGGTGACTTACATGTGTGTATGGGCGATGTCTTGACAGGGGCGTAGCGAGGGGGGGGGGTGGCGGGGGGGGGTGCGGACCGCACCGGGTGACACCATTCAGGGGGTGACACCAAGGCAAAAAATAACAAAATATATAGAGAAAAACTCGAGGGGGGGGTGCAAATCGAAAGTTTGAGGGGGGGGGGGGTGCAAATCGAAAGTTTGAAAGTTTGTCCCTGGGAAGGGTCTCTATGCCTCTGGGGGGGGGGGGGGTAGACACCATTAAGTGCCGCACCGGGTGACACCCGACCTCGCTACGCCACTGTGTCTTGACAATAATGGTACCTGGTGGTAGTAGTAGGGTACACGGTCGGGACATGTAGGGTAGTTGTAGGGGTCGGGGAATGTGGGCGTGATGTAGGAATGTTGTTCTTAAATGTAATGAAACGCATGTTAATACAAAAAAAGTTTATTTTTAAAAATATTCACTGTCATACAATTATAATTGGCACATTATAAATATACCTCATTGTCAGTTACTGTAAAAACTTTAATGTCGTCCAAACCTCTTGGTAAATTAGATTTATAATGAACCTCCCCTCCCCCATCCATAGTGCGCTTCAAACCACTTCTCGCCAAACAAAATTTTTTCACACGTTTTTAAATCGACTCCTTTGAACCGCACGACCGCTGTGTTAGTAAATGTGGAGCAGCGTACACTCACACAATAAGAGACTGGGTTTATTTGCGTTTATAGATTCGCGAAATTGAAGCGCCAGTTGGCCTAGTTTTACCCTACCTGAGAATGGATTAGTTCTCGCTATTTTCTTCCACACCTGGGATTTTATTGTAAGCGCAGCGCCCTATAGACGCTATGAAGTGTAAAGATTTAAAGAAAAATCCCTCATTCATCTCGTCAATCACCATTATGCACTGATGTGTGAGTTCTCAACGGCTTTTTACGTTCGTCTTTAATCCGTAGCCTTCAATATTTTCCAAAACAATTCGGTTCAAAAGACGTAAAAATTAAATAGAAAATTCTTTGTTGCTCCGTTTACCCCCCCCCCCCCCCCCCCCCACAATATTTGCACATTTCTAAGGTTAAACTTTAAAATTTTTTTAATAACAGCGATGTTTGCTAATGGTAATGTGTAGTACATTAGTGAGAGTAATGTTACTGATTGAAGTGGCCGTATGCTAGAGACTGCTAACCCGTAAGTCTTGAGTAGCAACCACCGGATCGAGTCAGTCGAATGTCCAGGATTCTTGACTCTACTTCATCTCCCCAATGTGTCTTGACCTCGAAAAGGAAAATACGATGAAGTTGATGAACGCTTGACACATGTGATAGCAGTAATTTTAAATTTAACTCGAGGCTCATATGCTGTAGCAAACGTGCAACACCAAACATTAGGGACTCAACGATTACTGCTAGACTGTTAGTGAACCTGAATTTCTTTGTCACGTGGTTTCAGCTAACTTTTCTTTCCTGATGGTCATTAACTAGCCAGTGTTGTGAAGGTCATTATCTAGCCAGTGTTGTGATGGTCATTATCTAGCCAGTGTTGTGAAGGTCATTATCTAGCCAGTGTTGTGATGGTCATTATCTAGCCAGTGTTGTGAAGGTCATTATCTAGCCAGTGCTGTGATGGTCATTATCTAGCCAGTGTTGTGATGGTCATTATCTAGCCAGTGTTGTGAAGGTCATTATCTAGCCAGTGTTGTGATGGTCATTATCTAGCCAGTGTTGTGAAGGTCATTATCTAGCCAGTGTTGTGAAGGTCATTATCTAGCCAGTGTTGTGAAGGTCATTATCTAGCCAGTGTTGTGAAGGTCATTAACTAGCCAGTGTTGTGAAGGTCATTATCTAGCCAGTTAATAGTTGTCAGTGTATACTTTCTTCTCACAACATTAGTAACAACAAGTCGGGGTTTTCAATGTTGCTTAAAATTTTATTTCCAATTTGTGTGATCTCGATTTAGTATGAGAGTTGGACGCACGTCCAAAAACCCAGCATTAATATATGGACAATAGTGGATAAGTGTTATACACTGAAATATATATATATATATATATATATATATATATATATATATATATATATATATATATATATATATATATAAAATTATCAGTATATGTTAACTATATATAATTATGAGTATATAATTAAATATATATAATTGTATATAAAAAATTATAAATAAATAATTATATATAAAGCCTACACGTGTATCACAATAAAGATTTATAGATTGACAAATACCAAATTAAACTTTTTATTAAAGCAATTCTTTACCGTCAGTTAGCTCATACAGAGTATAAAATCAAGATAAATTGGAATTAAAAGACCTTATTTGAATAGTCAATGTCAAGATAATTACTATTTGTGTTGACCTACGGCCTATATCTACATACACATGATGAAAACCAGGATCAAAACATAAGGTCTTTTTTATTGTGTTTACACAGTACAGCGCTGAAGTAGGCCTTTGGTCGAAACGTCAGGTTTAAAATAGATGTTATATACTTGCCAATGTTTGTAAATTTTGTCTGGCTGTCAGACGACAGTGGGCTGTACGTGGGGTGTACGTGGGGTGTACGTGACCTAGTGGCACGTCTGTACTAGCAGACGACAACTGATAGATCAAAACATTTGTCGTGTGCCCAAACAGGGACACTGTTTTCAGCAGACGACAACAGATTCATCAAAATATTAATATTTGTTGGGTGCCCAAACAGGGACACTGTTTTAGATAAAAGGCGACTTAAACTCACTCATCTGAGTGGCGTCACCTGTGGGGGTGAAGGGGTAGTTCACCCCGTACGGCGCCTTGATGGGGTCAGTTTATATAACGTTTTGCATTATGAAAAAGTAACTATCATCAAGTCATATTTTAATATTCTAGGTCTTTAATTAATAAAATCAACAAACATATCTTTAGGCCGTTAAGTTTAATAGGATGACTAAATTTGAAGCCACATCCCTAACTTGATTAAATTGCCTAATTGCTGTGTAATTACCTCTTACAACTTTAAGTATATATCCGTCGTATACACAATAAAATATATCATTCGTATAATTACAATTTACAACCATTATATAGATTTATAATAATAAATTGATCTTTATGTGGTTTAATTAGAAAACTGTTTTATGTACTCTATACATACATACACAATTTCAGCTTAAAATTATACAAAGATGCCTATTTAAGAAAATATACATACATATGGCACAATTTGTATCACATACATTAATTATTTCTCATTAAGTTGGGATGTATTTATAAATGAAGGAAGGTTTAACACAGACATATTATGCTGTACCGAGTGTGGCCTTGATAAAGGTTCACCCAACACTTGACTCATTAGTCAACTTGTGAGCTGGTCTCTCGACTTGCCCAGTGCTAGGTGCAGTAGAGTGTGTCGGATGTAGCTCAGTGTTGGGTGGTGATACAAGAGATCCAGGGGCATTTGTGTGGATATGGTCAGCTGTGGATCCAGGGCAGCAGACTGACACACACACACACACACATATATATATATATATATATATATATATATATATATATATATATATATATATATATATATATATATATATATATATATATATATATATAGCCTTGGTTCTCAGGACAAATAATCTAAGACGAAATTCCCCAGATAAAATATCACAGAGACCAAATATCCCTGGACAAAATTTATAAGGACAAAGAATATCAAGGATAAAATATCTAAGACAAGATACCTATAGCATGTGTTATGGTTTATAAAAAAAAAACAAAGAAAAAAAGCATAGTTTGGTCATATTAAATTTAACAGTTTTGTAGCATAATTGATTTGGGTGTACACGCAATTTATTAGTGTGATATACTCAAGTTTACTGAGAATCCGGCCCAACAAATGTATAGATCAAAACATTTTTTGGGTGCCCTCAGTGTGTGGTGATGTGTTCTTCTTATCGGTGCTTGTAGGGCTCTAGATATGGGCAGAGATGGATGGGCCACATACTCACATAGGTGGATGGAGGACCACAGGCATGGGCATCTAGAGATAGATGTCGCCCAGATGGGCAGAGAAGGCTGGACACAGAGATGGACAGGGGGGGGGGGGGCTGGAGAGAAGGCTGGACACAGAGATGGATAGAGGGGGGGGGGGGGGCTGGAGAGAAGACTGGACACAGAGATGGACAGAGAAACAAAGTAAAACATAAAGATAGCAACACGTAGTTTGTACATAAAATATTCTGATAAGACATGACTATAATCTAATAAAAATGCGATAACATATGTACTAATTGTATATCAGTGTAAAGTTAAAATATAGTCATGGCCGTTATATTGACAATATCCCAAACAAAAAAAAAATAACATCCACAAAAGCTGCCGTAAACTCCTACTTCAATTTCTTTTTTCAAATCCTGTATGGACACGTCTATAAAGAATTAGTCATTCTATAACACAATCCCTGGCATTTTTATCTGGCATAGCTGTAGCCATAGCTTTATAACCGTAAGACGAATATCTGTATAACTGGTCAGTCACATAGCTATATAATTGCTGTATAGCTGCAGCCAGTGGTTCAGCTACGGGACGCTTCATGAAACAGTATAGTTGCATGGCTGATTGTTCCGATGCGAAGTCTTACAGTATCTAGCACAGCTACTGGGGTTTAAATGGCTGGACTTGAGCTTTTTGCCGGCAACGTTCTCCGGCACAAAGATGGCGTCGGAGTTCGGTTTTTTCGACGCTTTCCTGGTTTTCTTTTGATAGCCAGCGGTGACCTCCACCTCCTGCGTGGCGCCGAGGTCCAGCGTGTCGATGCAGTACTGGTCAGCGTAGTGGTTGTTCTCGTGGTCCATAGGGTCCTGTGTCACGTGACTCCCTTTCGACGACAGATCCAACACCGTGTTGTCATTGTAGTGAAGATTTCCGTTGACGGAATATCCGTTCCGGACGTCGTTTCCGGGCGGGCAGGTTAAGTCGGTGAGGACAGGTGAGATGTAAACTTGTCGTCTGCTGTTGGTGTGGTGGTGGTGTTTGCACGCGTGCTGCATCTGGTTATAAATAGACTCAAGTCTCGCGCACTCGTCGGACAGGCGAGACTTGTCTATCAGAAGCTGCTTCTGTTGCTCGGTTAGCTGGGCGTTTTTCTGAAACAGACAGGGTTAAAGGTTAGGCTCAACTGACGTCTTTTGGCTGAGGTGTGGGGAATGACGTCTTTAAAATGGCGTCTGTAAACGAACGTATCTATTCTAATGAATTTAAACTACATGACGTTTTTAGCTGAGACCTGAAAACAGACCATTTAAGCAGACTTGTATGTCTTTACGAGGACGTCTATACAATGACGTCTTTAAGAGGACGTCCATACAATGACGTCTTTACGAGGACGTCTGTGCGATGGCGTCTTAAAGATGGCGTTTTTACAACTGACGTCTTTAAATTTCCATAAATATGAAAACATATTGACGTAAAGGATACGAAAGTTTAGAGAAATATCTCGTTCCTTTTAGAGTTTAATATGGTGCCCCCCCCCCCCCCCCCCCCTGCAGTTAAACGTGATCGGATTAACGCCAGATTATGACCATCTGTTGTCATCTTCAATAAAACACCCTGCCACCCCTAGGCTACGTTATCTATAAAAGTTTAATCACCACCTATCTTGAGTAAAAAAAAAAACTTTAAAATATCTAAATCCGTTTCATTTTTCAAGCATGACTCCAGGGGTCATTCCTTCCCTCCCCCTCCCCCCGTCATCCTCCCAACTGGAGCACGTCCACCGTCCACGGAGAAGAAAAATTATATAATATATAGACAGCTTTTTCTTCAAGCCCCCCCCCCCCCCGGAAAAAATGTCTGAAAGAAACTCTAGTTTTAATAACTTGCGGCTACAGTCAACTTTGTAGATCTTCTGTTTTGTTTCACATCGAGGCTTAGCTATTGAAAGACAATCTACAGGACCTAACTAAACACATTGACACTGTCAATGACAGGCACTTATCTAGACAGTACCGAGTGATTGTTGACAGACGACAGGTATGTTATCTTAGCCAGATATAGGGTGGAAAGGTTTTATCAGCCATACCACTTTAGCTGTGCTTTGGTAAATATATCCGGAGATGGCGCTACACACACGGCTTCTTGGTGACAATAGAAGTGTGGGCAGGGGCAGATAACTCTCATAAACAAACTTTGACAACATTTGTAGGACCTGACGTAGTTATCCCCCCCCCCCCCACCAATGGTTGTGACAATGAGGTGTAGCTAGTGAACTACATTGGGAGATAATAGAGGAACAAGATGACTCTGGGTGGATTTAGATTTCAAGGGATCCTTGTCTAAATTTTATCTGGGAACCACGTTATTATATAAATAGTTATAGTATAAAACGATCTTGGGGCGCTAATAATTGGGGTCACATAGTTAAAAGTGGGGTCAGCCTCGATATGAATCTCCGCCAATTATAGGTTTTAGTGTCGTTCAACGATGGCTCAGTAAATGTTGTGTTTATTTTTTTCTTATTTGCGTTGTGTTGCATGTACGGTATTTGGGTCTATGCATAATTTGTTTGCAATGCATGCATGATTTGTGTGGGTCTGAGTTACGTGTATGTTTGTGATGTTACCTGTCTATGACGTGTGCGGGTTAGACATGTTTGTGGTGTTTCATAAGTGTGGTGTATGTTTGTGTGCGGGCTAGACATGTTTGTGGTGTTTCATAAGTGTGGTGTATGTTTGTGTGCGGGCTAGACATGTTTGTGGTGTTTCATAAGTGTGGTGTATGTTTGTGTGCGGGCTAGACATGTTTGTGGTGTTTCATAAGTGTGGTGTATGTTTGTGTGCGGGTTAGACATGTTTGTGGTGTTTCATAAGTGTGGTGTATGTTTGTATGTTTGTGTGGGATGCATGATGTATGATGTGGGTGGTGTATGTTTTTGTATGATGTATGATGAATGAAGCGTGTTTGTGAGTTGTGTGTGATGTTTGATATTTGTATGATGTATGTGTAACGTAAGATGTGTGTATAACAAAACACTTCAGCGTACACAATAAACCAACATTTTTCTACACATATGAACACACAGTCCCTGTCTGTGTCACACATGAGGTAAACTATCAAAACTAGGTCAGAACACAGCACACATCACTTAGCTTGTGTAACACACCAGGAAGTTATACTACACCTGGTATATACAGCACACCTGTACTTATAACACACTTAATATTATACTTCAACAATAACAGCAACATGTTTTCCCATACTGTTGTATACACTAACAACGTGATGTTATCTTCTACATCTTATAATGAAAACAGTATTGATTTAACATTGTAGGGGGTTATCGTCCCTGATCCAGTTTTACAAAACTTGGATCTTAGATACGGCTGAAACTTTAGATTACTAGCACTAATGTCAGAGTCAGCTAAAACTTTAGATTATCAGCACTAATGACCTGAGTCCTGACATACTTGACGTGTTGGGCAAGGATTGGCCAGGTTGGCGCTATGGTAATACCGAAGTTCGTGGGTTCGATTCCCAGCCAGAAACAGCTGTTCTTCTACAGGAACACAGAATTCCTTGATGCATGAAGGACGGAGTTAATGAGGCTGGACAGTGGTCAGTTGTCTGACTACACTGAAGGAACTTGGACAGTGGTCAGTAGTCTGACTACACTGAAGGAACTTGGACAGTGGTCAGTAGTCTGACTACACTGAAGGAACTTGGACAGTGGTCAGTAGTCTGACTACACTGAAGGAACTTGGACAGTGGTCAGTAGTCTGACTACACTGAAGGAACTTGGACAGTGGTCAGATGTCTGACTACACTGAAGGAACTTGGACAGTGGTCAGTAGTCTGACTACACTGAAGGAACTTGGACAGTGGTCAGTAGTCTGACTACACTGAAGGAACTTGGACAGTGGTCAGATGTCTGACTACACTGAAGGAACTTGGACAGTGGTCAGTTGTCTGACAGTGGTCAGTTGTCTGACCACACACTGAATTAGGTTGACAGTGGTCAGTTGTCTGACAGTGGTCAGTTGTCTGACCACACACTGAATTAGGTTGACAGTGGTCAGTTGTCTGACAGTGGTCAGTTGTCTGACCACACACTGAATTAGGTTGACAGTGGTCAGTTGTCTGACCGTGGTCAGTTGTCTGACTACACACTAAAGGAGGCTGAACAGTGGTCAGTTGTCAGACTACACACACCGAATGATGCTGGACAGTGGACAGTAGTCTGACTACACTGACTCTTCTACCTACGTCATCTTAAGGGTAAACTCTAATCCCTACCTAAGCTCTGATTCACCCCCCCCATCCCCTACCCTATCGATTATTGTCCTTCGATCGTCATGAAAGTCGCCAGATGTCAGATTAAAAAAAATTTTTTTTTCTTTACATAAACGTCAACAGTGGTGAATTTACACATGTACTTCCCATATTGTCTCGGATACGTATTGTTCCATTTAAACAATGTCCACTTCACACACTGTACAGTTCCCATAATGCCCCGCTCTAATATTGCCCAATTCCTATTGACCAGTTCCTACACTGCCCAATTCCCAAAAATTCCACTTCTCATACTGTTCAATTCTGATTCTGTAACGCTTAATTCTCAAACCGCCTAATTCTCATACCACCCAATTCCCACCCTGTCCAGACCCCCACACTGCTCAGTCCCCATACTAATTACTATTCAGTATCTCCATCCCACAGGTAAAATCGGCTCCTCCAATCCGCGCTTGTCTAAAAATAACCTTCTACGGGAGGAAATTCCCAATAAATTTTTGTTACTAAGCAACCTGTTAGTGTAAACAAAAAAAAATATTCTTACCTCCTGAAGACTGCACCGTTCTTTTTTCTTACTCTCGTAAGATTTTTTCGCCGCTTCCACATTTTGTAGCCGCCTTTTTTCTTTTTTCTGGTCGCTTGTCTCCATCTCAATCGGCGACCGATCACTGGGAAAAATACAAATAAATCACACCATTCACAAACCGTGCACACCAGATAACACCGTGCTGACACAACTATTGAGCTGTTGAGATATGCCTTCAAGTAGGAAGTGAAACGTACACACGCTCGCACAGCCGAGGAGAAAAAAAACACACTAGGCCTAACGTTTGTAACGACCTGACCTACATTTGCGGTTTTCTGAGAAATCATTGGCTGGGATTGCCGTGACCTTTGAAGCACTTATCCTAGCTAAGGATTTATCCTCGTCGTTTTTTTTTTTTTGTTGTTTTTATTTTTTAATTAAATTAAGACAGTGATTAATTTTATCAAATAACGAATATAAATTGCACGCACAAATTGAAGAAATTGTAAAAATATTTGATTGAACGAGACAAAAGTGGGCGTGTCCTACCTGACCAGGGGCGACGATCAATGCAAGCGTGTTGTCACCCGGGGCCGCCAAACAACGTTACGGTTCGGTGGTTTTCTCAATATAGTACGCACCTTCTGATTGGCTAGCTCGTCTCGGTTATATCAACGCGGGTTGGATTACGCAATATATATCTACTATTGCCTATCTAAAACGTAATAATTATTGTTGTGCGTAGGCGTTTGTAGGGCACGTCACTCAGATACTCAGCCTATAAGACTATATGATTCAAATGTTTATCATTTTTTTATCACTTTATATTAGAGGTCTTCTAAGTGTTGACAAACACACCCACTATACACATCCGTAAACAAGTGGTAACATATGCTGCCAACGTTACCTTATCACCCTGTCAGCGTAAGGTAACCTCTAGTGACGTATAATTTCGTAGATATCGTGTATTTTTAAACAGCGTTTTCAGTTAGTTTCAGTTTCGAAATGGTGACGTCAGTTTAGAAAGGAGCGCGTCGATGCTCAGTGGCGTGGCGGTCTCGCTAAGCTGGGGAGAGCGCGGGCTGGCGAGGACAGAGTGTATCCCGAGGGCTGTCTGTTGTTAGACACGCAAAGTGATGTCTGTTTGTTACATGCCGCAATAGATGTCTGTTGATTAGAGTCAAGCAGAGGGCTGTTCGCTATTTATAATTCCATGAAGAGAGCTGTCCGCTATTTATAGATATCCTTTACTCTCGTTTCGATAAGCTACACGTAGCGGGCTTTTCGACTGGCCCGCAACGTTACATCGAAACAGTGAGCCAATTATCTCCCCTTATGTCTAAAAATAGCACAACAGAACGGTATCTCAGTGGGATTTCCCGGAAACCGGAAACGGTGTTGCTATACGGCACGGGGAGTGGCGCTAAAATAAAATTTCATTCCGAGAGCGAAAACTAAAAAAAAACAACAACAAACAAACAAAACAAAACACAACAGCTAATGGGCTAATTATACATGAGCCCGCAATAATAATTTAATTATTGCTTGTTTAATGTAGATTACATTTTTATTTCTAAACATTCACATGAACAAAACTAAAGCACCTATTCTGGCAATATGAAACTGTTTACGTCATATCTGTTGCCACGTAAATATATGCAGCTAGAAATTAGATTGGCACTTACAAGTTTAGGGTTAATTGCAAGTATAGGATTAGACAGTAGCAAGTATAGGATTTAGCTAGACAGTGGCAAGTGTAGGATTTAGCTAGACAGTAGCAAGCATTAGCTAGACAGTGGCAAGTATAGGATTTAGTGTAAAGTGTAGGATTTAGCTAGACAGTGAAAAGTGTAGTATTTAGCTAGACAGTGGCTAGTGTAGGATTTAGCTAGACAGTGGCAAGGGTAGGATTTAGCTAGAGTGTGGCAAGGGTAGGATTTAGCTAGAGTGTGGCAAGGGTAGGATTTAGCTAGACAGTGGCAAGGGTAGGATTTAGCTAGAGTGTGGCAAGTGTAGGATTTAGCTAGACAGTGGCAAGTGTAGGATTTAGCTAGACAGAAGCAAGCTTTAGCTAGACAGTGGCAAGTGTAGGATTTAGCTAGAGTGTGGCAGGTGTAGGATTTAGCTAGACAGTGGCAAGGGTAGGATTTAGCTAGAGTGTGGCAATGGTAGGATTTAGCTAGACAGTAGCAAGCGTTAGCTAGACAGTGGCAAGTGTAGGATTTAGCTAGACAGTGGCAAGTGTAGGATTTAGCTAGATAGTGGCAAGTGTAGGATTTAGCTAGACAGTGGCAAGTGTAGGATTTAGCTAGACAGTGGCAAGTGTAGGATTTAGCTAGACATTAGCTAGTGTAGGATTAAGCTAGAGTGTGGCAAGTGTAGGATTTAGCTAAACAGTAGCGAGTGTAGGATTTAGCTAGACAGTGGCAAGTGTAGGATTTAGCTAGAGTGTGGCAAGTGTAGGATTTAGCTAGACAGTAGCAAGTGTAGGATTTAGCTAGACAGTGACAAGTGTAGGATTTAGCTAGACAGTAGCAAGTGTAGGATTTAGCTAGACAGTGACAAGTGTAAGATTTAGCTAGACAGTGGCAAGTGTAGGATTTAGCTAGACAGTTGCAAGTGTAGGATTTAGCTAGACAGTGGCAAGCGTAGGATTTAGCTAAACAGTAGCAAGTGTTAGCTAGACAGCAGCGAGTGTAGCATTTAGCTAGACAGTGGCAAGTGTAGGATTTAGCTAGACAGTGGCAAGTGTAGGATTTAGCTAGACAGTGGCAAGTGTAGGATTTAGCTAGACAGTGGCAAGTGTAGGATTTAGCTAGACAGTGGCAAGTGTAGGATTTAGCCAGACAATGGCAAGTGTAGGATTTAGCTAAACAGTAGCAAGTGTTAGCTAGACAATGGCAAGTGTAGGATCTAGCTAGACAGTGGCAAGTGTAGGATTTAGCTAGAGTGTAGCAAGTGTATGATTTTGCTAGACAATTGCAAGTGTTAGCTAGACAGAAGCAAGCTTTAGCTAGACAGTGGCAAGTATAGGATTCAGCTAGAGTGTAGCAAGTGTAGGAATTAGCTAGACAGTGGCAAGCGTTAGCTAGACAGTAGCAAACCTAGGATAAATTGAACTGTCCCAACAGCCCACGTACTTCCCACGTACTAATTATTCAACTTAAATCCTGGTTTTCATTGGAATGCAAACTAAACCTAAGAGCCGTCTTTCAACGAAATGCTATCCTCTCTACAAACCTGCCAGGCTGTGACATAGACCGTACCACGGTGTTTTTCCTGTGGAATGTGGCCCATTCATTGGCTCTAAACCTCGCAACTTGGTCTAAGATCACTGAGCCTAGCACGGTATACACACATTATAATAGCAGTCAAATGCTTGGGTACACTCTGTACACAGCTTGGTTTAGCTGGCACCGTACACAAATATCTAAAGCAATTTTCATTTTGAAAGGACCGCTATGAATGGCAATGGTGTTTTAATTGGTTATAGATCGCTCGACTGCTAGCATGAAGGTCTCGAGTTTGGATCTCAGTCCACTCAATGCTGAAGGACTTCCTTGAGTCTACCCAGCTCTGACTGGTACCTGACTGACATTGGGAAAGTAAATGTGGATTGGACACAACACACCATCCGTTCATATGCCGAGGTCGACATAGGAACTACTTCATCTGCTTCATGGATAATGAAGTCTGAAAGGAGGCTATACTTGCTGTACTGCTCTTGATATCAACTAGATGACAAGAGTCTCAAACAAAGGGCACTTTGATCAGCAGCGTGAGAAATATGTTTGGTGACTGGGGAAGCGTGAACTGACTGAAGGGATTGGTGAACTGACTGAAGGGATTGGTGAATTGACTGAAGGGATTGGTGAATTGACTGAAGGGATTGGTGAACTGACTTAAGGGATCAGTGAACTGACTGAAGGGATCGGTGAACTGACTGAAGGGATTGGTGAACTGACTGAAGGGATCGGTGAACTGACTGAAGGGATCGGTGAACTGACTGAAGGGATCGGTGAACTGACTGAAGGGATCGGTGAACTGACTGAAGGGATCGGTGAACTGACTGAAGGGATCGGTGAACTGGCTGAAGGGATCGGTGAACTGGCTGAAGGGATCGGTGAACTGGCTGAAGGGATCGGTGAACTGACTTAAGAGATCGGTGAAGTGACTGAAGGGATCGGTGAACTGGCTGAAGGGATCGGTGAATTGACTGAAGGGATCGGTGAACTGACTGAAGGGATCGGTGAACTGACTGAACGGATTGGTGAACTGACTGAAAGGATCGGTGAACTGACTGAAGGGATTGGTGAACTGACTGAAGGGATCGGTGAACTGACTGAAGGGATTGGTGAATTGACTGAAGGGATTGGTGAACTGACTGAAGGGATCGGTGAACTGACTGAAGGGATTGGTGAATTGACTGAAGGGATTGGTGAACTGACTGAAGGGATTGGTGAACTGACTGAAGGGATCGGTGAACTGACTTAAGGGATCGGTGAACTGACTGAAGGGATTGGTGAACTGACTGAAGGGATTGGTGAATTGACTGAAGGGATTGGTGAATTGACTGAAGGGATTGGTGAACTGACTTAAGGGATCAGTGAACTGACTGAAGGGATCGGTGAACTGACTGAAGGGATTGGTGAACTGACTGAAGGGATCGGTGAACTGACTGAAGGGATCGGTGAACTGACTGAAGGGATGGTTGAACTGGCTGAGGGGATCGGTGAACTGGTTGAAGGTATTGGTGAACTGACTGAAGGGATCGGTGAACTGACTGAAGGGATTGGTGAACTGACTGAAGGGATCGGTGAACTGACTGAAGGGATTGGTGAATTGACTGAAGGGATTGGTGAACTGACTTAAGGGATCAGTGAACTGACTTAAGGGATCGGTGAACTGACTGAAGGGATTGGTGAACTGACTGAAGGGATCGGTGAACTGACTGAAGGGATCGGTGAACTGACTGAAGGGATGGTTGAACTGGCTGAGGGGATCGGTGAACTGACTGAAGGGATTGGTGAACTGACTGAAGGGATCGGTGAACTGACTGAAGGGATGGTTGAACTGACTGAAGGGATCGGTGAACTGACTGAAGGGATTGTTGGACTGACTGAAGCGATCGGTGAACTGACT